CCCCCCCCCCCCCTGCCACCGTCCGCCACCTTTCTCTCTCTCTTTCTCTTTCTCTGTTGTTCATCCGTATATATCCCTACCTGACACTCTGACAGTCGGCCCTGCTCGTCCAGAACGATTCCAACATCGCCGCCAACAGGAACGGCGACTATTGTTCGAGCCACCGATAGCCGTGGATCCGTACCTTTAACGATCTATCTGCCGGACGCCTATCGATTTCGTTTTTCAAAGACCCGTAATATCGTCGACGCGGGTGAAAGGTTAATAAGGGTGCCGCGCCGTTTTCTCGGCGGTGATCGATTCCCGTCGAATCGTGTTTCGCACCGATGTTTCATCGAATCCTCCCTCGCCGAGGATGCGCGAACGCGTTTAAACTTATTTGGACGATGTTTCCGCGAAAGGAGAAATTCCATTGGCAGATGTATCAAGGGTGGAAGTAACGACGTTTTCTGTTAGGTCGAACGAACATTGTTACCTTCTAAATGCGGACGACCGTACGTTCTATAATTAAATCTACGCGATCTATCGACATTTGATACGGGTATCATGAATATTATCTGTACTAAATGTTAAATAGAATAATATTATTATTCTACTTATGAATATATATTATATATATATAATATAATATAATATAATATATATAATATAATATAATATAATATAATATATATATATATAATATATATTATATATTATGAATATAACAGCGTTACGCTTGCGAGCGTTCCGTTCTACCGCAAGAGGAATCTTACGTTTGTTAAATCTGCAAATGGAATTTTGTCGCACGCTCTCCGATTTCTGGGTAATAATGTGTATGCAAACGGGACGAACGCTTCCGTGTCGCTACACGGAAAGTGTTTTACATCTGTTACCACGATTTTGCAATCGAAAGAAGCTGTACGCTGTACGCCTGCATTCGCGAGCTCCAAGCAGGGAGGAGGGGAAGTTTACACTTTCGATTCTCGAGCGGACTCTTCTCTGCGCGATTCTTCCCTCGCGTTCCCCGCTGAACAATGACCCGTCGAAATGTTACTGTGCCACAGGGAAGTGTCTCTCCCTCTCTCTCTCTCTCTCTCCCTATCTCTCGTTCTCTACCTTCGGCTCTTTCCCGCACGCGCGGCCGACCTTTGCGGATATTTTTCCTCGCGATCGGTTCGCGGAAATGAAATTCCGCGGCTGGACTTCTGCGACGTGAAACCCATTAACCGGTCGAGCCCGTTACCCGGAGATTTCTGATAAGAGGCGTGACAAATACGTTCGGAAGCGTGGTACACCTGTTGCGCGTCTCCTCGGGCAGTCCGTCGATCATTTCTACTCGTTCCTGATGTCCAACACGGAATCTTTCATGTTCATCTCCAAGCGGACTTCGTATTTCGTGCAGCCACCTTCTTGTAACGCCGGTTGCATACTCGAGGAGATTAAAGCTACAGTAAATTCTCCCAAATTGTTCTTCCAAGCTTGAAGAGAAAAATGGACAATTTGGGAGGAGGGGATACGATTATATTCGAGCCTCGTTTTTATACTTGTCGATGATCGGCAACTAATCGTATCTCTCCTCTTCCCAAGTTATCCATTCTTGTTTCCGAGCTGAGAAACAATTTGGAAGAATCTATTAATTTGGAAAAGCCAGCGAACGGAATAATTGAAGCGACGATGCGTGAAACAGTCTTCGAAAAGTCGTGGTGCCCGTGCGGGAACGAACATGAGCGCGAGCATGAGCACGAGCCGGCCTTGACCGACTCCGGGAAGGGTGTGTCCCTTCCCGCGAGATCGCGAGATCGCTTGAGAATCCGAAATCTCCAGCAGTCAAGAGAGCAAAGTTTTCAAAAGGACTGTTCTTGTTCCGCATCGTTCTTCTCGGTGCTTAGTGTTGCTTACTTATTTCAAGCGTCGTCATTCTGTGTCCTGCGGAGGTCGACAAATCCTCTCGAACGTGAAAAACTGTGCAAAGAATGGAACCGTTGTTTGTCCAACAATAAGAGGCGCCATGCGGCGCGACAGGACAGAGAGCAACAATAGGAGAGAGTGAGAGAGAGAGAGAGAGAGAGAGAGAGAGCGTCGGGTACTTGGGTCGCGGCACGCGCAGGTGGAATTCAGGTGTGGGTGTGTCACGCGCGCGGATATACCTCGTCCGAGATATCTCCCAACTGTTGACGATCCTCCGTCTCGAGCCTCTCCTCGATTTCCTCGCGGCTCCTCACCACTGTCTCGTTCAATTCCTTCTGCACCACACTGCCACCGTCCGCGGACACTCTTCCACCTGTCGGCCAATCGACCTCTTGCGGTTGATCACCGGTTGTTCGCCTCTGCAAACAATAGTTGTCTCGATCAATGCTAGATTTTCCTCATGTCTACCATACCTTTGGAGGCGTTTATCAGAAAAGTAAAACTACATAAATACGAAAACGCGTTGCCTTGCCAGAACCACGAAGTCTGAAAATTTAGACAAGAAAACAANGCGTCGGGTACTTGGGTCGCGGCACGCGCAGGTGGAATTCAGGTGTGGGTGTGTCACGCGCGCGGATATACCTCGTCCGAGATATCTCCCAACTGTTGACGATCCTCCGTCTCGAGCCTCTCCTCGATTTCCTCGCGGCTCCTCACCACTGTCTCGTTCAATTCCTTCTGCACCACACTGCCACCGTCCGCGGACACTCTTCCACCTGTCGGCCAATCGACCTCTTGCGGTTGATCACCGGTTGTTCGCCTCTGCAAACAATAGTTGTCTCGATCAATGCTAGATTTTCCTCATGTCTACCATACCTTTGGAGGCGTTTATCAGAAAAGTAAAACTACATAAATACGAAAACGCGTTGCCTTGCCAGAACCACGAAGTCTGAAAATTTAGACAAGAAAACAACCTTCAATGAACACGCAGATACATCTGCTATCTAATTAAATTTGATCTGCGAGTAGCTGTTATACGCAGAGAGATTTATAGTACAGAGATTTGTTTCCATCGTCGCTGAATCGACCAATTTCGAGTCTCCGAAGGAAGATCGAATAGGGTCGCCGGAGAATCACTGTCCGCAGGAGCGAACCGCAAAGTGTCAACGGTTAAAAGCGGCCGCAGTAGCAAGAAAGGTTCAAGTACTTCTTGCGTGGTGTGCTCCTGTTGCTCGACATCCTCGGTAGTGTTCGTGGTGACCAAGGGGCCGGAGTCGACGACCACCTCGCCATCTTCGAGCACGACCTGTCGCTTCACTCTGGTCTCGATCTGCCTGGTGGTGGTGATTTCCTTCTTCTTGCGGGTCTCCCATTCCTCTGCAACACCGGAAGCGGGTTCATTGGTTCGTCACGGAACGATCGTCTTCGAACAAAACCGATTGCCCGGCATTCTCGGGCAAACGATCGCCGTGGAAAACACGGCGCGGTAAGAAAGAAAGTATGTAGAAGTCGAGCGATGTCCAGAGAACTGTTTCGCGCGGGAATACGTAGTACGCTGGTTTGCACGCGGCACACCTTGCAGCCCTTATCTATTATCTCGGGTGGTTCGAGTACATCGTCGTTGGCGGGCAATGCTCACCTTCTTTCACCAGAGCTATGGAATTCTCCGGGTCGATCTGGAAGAGGATGACAACACGTTTAGGATATGTTTAGAGTTCGACGGTGGAAGTCGAAGGAGAGACTGTACTCACGAGGATCGGCGGATGGCTCGCTGGCGGTGGACGAGCCTCGTATCGGCGTGTCGAAATCACCTCCATTATTCGATCATGCTTGCCGGTGGATCCCGATGGTCTTGGTCTTTGAGGATCGTGACAGGAAGCGGAGCTGTTGGCTCACCACGGGTCGTTTCAACGAAAAGCCGCTCCGCGATCCGATAACACTCGGCTTCCCTGTAGGAATCCAAGATAACAACTCGTTTACAGGATGTTTGTTGTAGCTCGAATCCTAAATCTAACGCGAACCATCCTTGATCCGTGCGTCACGTTGCGCGTTGCACGTTCGCTCCGGGATGGCGCCACGCCGCGCGTTCAAGTCACTCGGAATGCGGCGACGATATTGCTATTTAATACATGCGAATTCGTCCGAACGATAACGCGTTTAATTAGCATCGCTGAGCGCGGCTGAAAAAGATTCCGTGCACCGCGGTCGCACGTGGCTGGCTTGTCGTTAACCGGCGGGGGGAAAAAAGTTTTCGACTCGAGCGCGATTATGTCCATAAACGTTCGCTTCCAGGAACGTCCAAGGACACTGGGATGCGAGGATCACCGCGAGCTACAGCGGCGCGGGCCGAGGAGAGACGAAACGTCTCGAGGCACGAAGACGCAGTCTATTTAACGCTTCTAATTGCAAGCGTAATCGCCGGCACGTGCGTACGTGTGTGCGTGCCTGCGAACGGGGTGTAATAATTCATCGGGACGCTCTTTCTGCATAAAAGTCCGAAGGCCGCAGTGGCACGCGGGCCTGTGGTCGCGACGACCACCTCAATATGGTCTGCGATACGATATCGAGATGGTTAAAGACACGCGTGCGCCACGTACGACCAGTTGCCGATTACAGTGGCGTATCTGTGTCAGATTGTTGCCGCGACACGCTCCGAAACGATCTAGTAACACCGATCGCGTGCACCCTCTTCGCAAGTCCGCTTCTTCCTCGCTCGAGTCGCGGCGAGATATTTAGAACGTCGCCGAACAGTGGCTCCAGAAATTCAAATTTGAACTGTTATCATTTCGTGAAAACCGTAAATCAGGTCTCATTTTAATGCTCGAAGCTTCTATATTTTTTTTGTAACGTACTCTCCTGCTCAAACTTTGCTATACGATTATTTCTGGTGCCACTGTAAAGGTAGCTTCGACCAGGAGAGCAAAGGGCGACCGCGAGGGTGGAGAAGGTTGAAGAAGATCTCGACGAGACGAGTAATCGATCCCGGGCGATGATTAAGAGATCCTGTCTTAACGGAGGCGAGTCAACCTACGCCATTGAGCACTCGCGTCCTTGCGGTTGAAATTACGCACGAGCACTCCGCTCCCCGTTCTGGCTGAAACAGGTACGTAAGTATCAGGATTTTTCCTCCCCTAGAATCTAGGCTTGTAACACGCGGTCTTGCGCCGACCGACAGCTAATGGCTACCGCGAACCACGAACCGCGAACCACGAATGCACGATCGACGATCGGCGATGCCGATTTTTCATTGAAAGTTCACGTGACGAAAAGACCACGGAGAAAAGGTGTACCTGACAGCTAGCTATAGCTATAGCGTTCCGAGGCCGTGAAACGAGTGCGATTCGTATTGACATCACGCTTCGGCGACGATTCTATATACGACCGTGTCGATCCCGTCTCTCTGTCTCATTGGATATGCGTGTGACGTCAGGGATGCGTCATGCTCGTGTGTGTGCGTCTAAACAAGCGAAAACTCTCCGACGAGGACGACGTTTTACTGCTTCTTGAACATTCTGAACGACAGTTCGAGTACTTTGCTGAATCTTGATTTTCATGAAAATCGTTGGTATATACTCGGGTCATGATTGATCGGCCATCATGGATCCATCGGTAAATCAATCTTAGCTAGTGTATAAATGAATAAAAATGTGGGAAATTAAACTTTTACTGAAATAGAGATGCGAAGCTCGGGTCACTCGTGATCCTAGTATACCGGTTAAGGATTAAGTTTCTACAGAAACTCTGTTGCGTCTTCAAATGGAAATACGGCAATCCGAGTGACATTCTTCTCCAAGGGAAACAGCGATGGAACGCGGTAAAAATGAAGAAGTTACTTGCGCAAAATCATTTTGCAGCCAGTAGGAGATCTGAAAAATGGAAATAGTACATTCCGAGTGACATTTTTCTTACGGGAAAGCTGAAGAAAGCAGCGGTGCGATGCGACAATTATTTATGCAAAATTGTTTTACCATTCCTTGGTAGATCCAGCCGTTGAATCGCCGCGCGACGCGCCGCGTTATTCCGGCGATTTGGACGCACGATCAAGAAACGAAAAGCGACAAGATGGGTGAACAGTGGATCGGGGGAGCAGGTGGACACTCGTGGGCGGTATGTATGCAATGCGACGGACACGTGACCTCGGCAAGGACGTCGCCATTTTGAGAGAAACACTAAGCGCGGCAAACCCGCGATCATCGATGCTCCCTCGAATTTCTCCGGGATGAACGATTCAGCGGAGAACTTTTCGATCCTAACTAGGCGCGATCCAAAATCGAATCCGAGCGATTTCGAAACAGGTTTCCGGAGCGTTCACACCCACGTCCCCGCCTCTCTCCGTGTCCACTTGACCAGAAACCTGCGAATATTTTGCTTTTACGTTTGGTTCGCACCGATGATCCGCACAATATCGTGGCCCACAAAAGTGCTCGCACACTTTCAAATTCAATCATGCTAATATCTCCTTCGGGACTTCTGTAGAAACATTTTCGTCGGCCTGCGGTACAGACCAAAGGATCAAAATCGGCGTTGAGATATCTACCAGATAATCGTCACAGTTTCTCGCCGCGGTTCTTGTAGCCGAAGATCCGATTCCTGTCGAAATATTGTCACTGTGGGATCACAGGGTCGACGTATCAACGGATAGGGAACATATCGTCGAAGGTGTGTTGAAGGTGTCTTTTCAGCCGATGCACTGGGAAGATTCCCATCGTTTCTCGCGCACGGCGGATTACGTAAGGGGCTGACAATGCCAGGTCTCGTAACATCCTCGCGGAAAAAGGCGGTTCGATGGAAGCGGGCCAGCCTTTTCCTGGGCAGCGGCTCGCCGGGGAACGTAAAGGAACGCTGAGAGGATGAGGCCGCTGGCCGATCGAGAGAGCCAGCAGCCAAGGATCGAAAGAAAAAATGGTGTTTACGTTCACCTGATTCGGTCTCGGGAGATCCGGTCTTGGATCGGCGTACGACCTCTTCTTCCCTCGAGGATAGCCGCACCGGTTATCAAAGGGATCCTTGATTGTCCTCGGTGGTCCTCGGATTAGCCGTGGTTCAGCCGGTCGAAGGCCTGGCACAACCAAAGCAGAGAATCGGAGACCGAGAATCGAGAGCCGCGAACGCAAAGTTCCCGCGCGCATGCTGCCGTGGCCAGCGCTCACGATACTGTCCGTCCATCGAGCACGCTTTCTGACGGATCCGCGCGAGCCACCGCGAGCTCTCCCAGTAGGAGACGACGATCGCCGGAGCGGCACGAAGCGCGGCCGAAGTTATCGGTAGTGATGAGATCAAGCTGAATCCAAACGGGGACTGTTACTTTCCTCGGCCGGCCGCTCCGGAACGGCTACACGCGGCTACCAAATTGGTCCTACCATACTCTGCAAACAAGACACCGGATAATACTCGTTTTCTTTTTCGATGAGACACTTTTCTCTCACCTCGGGACTAGGCGTTCCGGAGGATCCGGGTCATCCGACAGGATCCTATGAATCAACTTCCATTTTTCTGATGACAGAGTCCTGACCCGGCTAACTCTAATGCTTAGCCTCGATTGACGGGGACTTTATCGGGTTATACATTTTCACGTCTTCCTCGTATCCGAATGCGAAGGAACAATTCAGAGCAGCTAGAGAATAGCCGTAGGTACATTCGCATTCTTGCGAGGTCAGGATACCAGGCGCATACTGTTACTTTCTTCTGTGGGCACAGCAGAGGCTGGCCATTCAACCATTTTCATACCGATTAACCCTTATCGCTCCCGATGTCCGGTGTTTCATATTGAACAGTTGGAGTGACACAAATTAATATTTGGCCGTGAGATCAGCCGCATATCTTATCGTCAGAAGCTACCGGTCACCTGGCAATCAAAATTCTGAGAGTGGGCTATGACCTGCTGACCGATTTCGCCAAATCGCCGATGTCCTCGACTCTCGCGACGATGTACCTAACAGGTCTTGTCCCTGATCGTACGCCGTCATCGCCGTAACAAACGGACCTTACCTCTGATAGCTTAGCCTTATATAGAGAACGATATTTCCTTTCCCATCGGTCTTGGCAATCGTGTGCAAATATTTGCATTTCTCAGTCACATCTAGAAAAAACATTTGAAGGTATTATCTTCTTCGAGTTGGTTCAAACAAATAGCGCTCATCAAGGTTTGTGTCATCTATTGGGGATTAAATTTCAATTGAACATACTGCTTTTGAATCCAAGCAGCTATCGCTTCGAGTACCAGCTGATGAAAGGTCTGGATGAAAAAGTTTACGGGATTCGAACGAGAGAAACGCAGTCCCCGAATAAAGTCACAGATCCTATTCTTGGCGGCCGAGGTCGTTAATATGCAAATTCGATGTTCCAAGCGTGAAGAGCCTTATATTGTATGTCGCGCGCGTGTCGCGTGATTCACCCGCGACAATCAAAATATTGTGCCTTAATATCTTCGGCCGTCCCCCAGAAAAGGATGCGCCCAGCCTCTGGAAAAGGAAAGAGATCGGCGCGGTCTGGATATGCGGGGAACCGAGCCGCGAATCTTCCTCGAGACGGATTAAGTAACGCGTCTTTCATCAGCAAAACGGCGCGAGCGTGTCGTTCCAATAATTATCGTTAACGTACGCCGGCGATCGTTATCCCGTGACTCAATACCGCGTCGATGCGCTCTGTTTACACCCAACAGTGAGGCCGCAACAGGCGTTATTGGCCGATGTTGCACCGCTCAAAACCGCTTGCTTGAATTTTGCATTTCGATTGCGTAACATGCGACAGACTGGAGAGAAAAAAGAACACCTAGAAAAAGAACGAGTATGTAATTAAGTTCGCCCAACCGGTCGTTAGAATTATAGAACCGCGTGGATACGTTTCATGGTACGCGTGCTGCGTAACCGTTAGAATTACCATTTCGTTTCGTTGTTATTTCTTACGTGGTATCGTCTTTCTTCTAAAATCTAGCGCTTACGTTCGATGGCCTTGAACTCTGACCAGCGGTGACCCGGCAAAAATTGTTCTTCAGAACACTCGGAACGCTCCATGCGGAGAGGAAACGTCATCCGCGCGGAAGCATGCTTCTGGAGGCAATTGAGATCCGTACATGTAGGGGTTCACCGAAAAAGGAGTATCAAAGATACAAGAGCGTTCGTGACAGCAATGTTCACATTATATATTGCATTCTCCGGCTTTGTCCTCGTAGTCTCGTTATTCCTTGTTTTCCTTGACGCTAATCCCGCTCTCCGTACGCGGACACGGTGATCGTGGTATCCTTGGACCGACGATCGCCGACACCGGTATGGCATCGTGGGACACCGTCTAGCAATGGTGCCAATGTCAATAACGGAAACTGGGAGCAGAGGGGCAAGCAACTAGAGCAATTAGGCGAGCCAGCATCTTCGCGACGGCGGGAGCCGATCGGCCTCGAATCGTGCTTCCGGGAGGACAATGTGTACGTCACTGCAACCGGGTGCCGTTTATGTAGGTAAGCCCACGTCATCTGTGTCAGCAAACTGCCGGCCAGGTAGGCAAGCTTACCTATACGGACCTCGAAATGTGGCCATTGCCAAAAGCTATTAGGGTGTCCCATAAGTTCTTTCCGCGCCGCGCGCGCTACGAATGACTTTAACTGGCTGCGTTTATGTAAACACGTAGGCTTATCTCTTGGCTGTTTAGGGTATCGGTTTCAGTCATGCTAGAGCTCTTGTAGAGTATGTTTCATTGGTGACAAAGTTCCTTATCAAATGTTTTCTGCACCGTTCGATATGGATAGCCAAAATAAGCATTTGCGGCATGTTATGCTTTATTTCTTAAAAAAAAAAAGTGATAGGGCAAAGGACGCTGCAAACGAGATTTGTACCATTTACAGTAATGGTTCTACGACTACTGGGATACAGTCCGCAATTGGTTTGAGAGATTTAGAGCTGGCAATTTTGATTTGAAAGACGAAGAGACCGCAGCGGGCGTCCAATAACGACGGATGCGGACCTTGTCAAAGATATGCTCGCCGAAAATCCGCGATATAGCGTGTGCGAGATAGCGGATGCCACTAACATACCCAGGACAACGGTACATAAGCATTTAATCGAGATGAGATATGTGAATCGATTCGAAGTTCCACACCGTCGATATAGGTGTTGACACCAGCCTTATGAACCGCGTCTCTACGTGCGATTTGCTTCTCCAACGACATGGAAGAAATCCTTTCCTAAAGAGGCTTGTCACCGGAGACGAGACTTGGATTTTATACCGAAATGTGCATCGGAAACGAACTTGGTCAAAAGGAAATAGTCCCTCAATTGTTGCGAAGCCACGACTTCGTCCGAAGAAAGTTCTTTCGTGCGTTTGGTGGGACTGGAAAGGCGTAGTCTACTACGAGCTCTCCTTTCTCAAGGTGAAACGATCAATTCGGCTAAATATTGTAATCAACTCGATGAATTGAAAGCCGCCATAGCAGAAAAACGGCCAGAATTGGCGAACCCACGCGGCGTCGTTTTTCATCGCGACAACGCGAAACCGCGTGTTGCGTTGTTCGTAAGACAAAAATTATTGCAGTTCGATCGGAACGTTCTACCTCATCCTCCGTACTCCCCAGACACATTGCTCCATCCCGATTATTACTTGTGCTTCTCGTGAAAAAATTCCCTCCGTGAGAAACGGTTTAAATTCGTAAGCGAAATAAAACCGCACCTTGAACAATATTTTGCAAATAAGCCTCAACGATCTTGGAAAAAACGGCATAACGAGGCTTCCTGAAAGATGGAAGAAGGTAATAGAGCAGAACGGTTCATATGTAACTCGATAAATCAATCTTAAACAACAAATATCGTGTAATCACTTCGCATCAGAAAAAAAGGAAAGAACTTACGAGACACCCTAATATATATGCGAACTCCGGACAAAATAATCATCGCGCGACGAGTTCGCGCGCATGGTTCACGTAATTGATACCTGTGAACTGGTTCAAAGGAGGCGCGCCATTGCAGGTGCGCCGCGACACGCGGGCTTTTTCCTCGAACGGATATACTCCTCGAACAAAAGTGTCGTTGCTCTGCCGGGATTGTTAACCGAGTTTTCGAACAATAGGCTCGGGCAGTAAAATGTTATTATCCGCCGGGAGAAAACCGTCGATTGTTTCGTGCAAATGGATCAAACTTCGTGCTGTTGATCCGCGGCCTGTCCGATCCCTTGGTAGAAGATGCGCGAGCCGGCTGCGCAGAAACCTGGAAGCTTGCGCGAACGATTACAGTTCGATTTATAACTGAAATTAATCGATTCGAATGTTTTCTTGAAATATCTTGCCCGATGCTTTTCCTCGATTCTCCGGCCGGACATCACGTTAGAACGGTTGAACATTTTTTCGGTGTTCGATCGTGATCTACGTGCCAGTCGATGTAAACATGTGTAAGGCCGAACGTAGCGACAACACGGAACAGAAAGTTAATGGATTTCAAGCAAATAGTCCTCGACCAGAGAAAGTCGGAGGCATTTCTAAATAAACGATCTCTTCCTAGTAGAACGTTAGCACAATTATCTATGGATCAACAACAGTGGCGTGAAAGCGTCGATATCCCAAAGTGTTTTAACCGAATTTAATGGTCTCAAGCGACTGTATTTCGCGTGCTTATCTATCGATGAAAGCTTCGAGTTCAAGAGTAAATGTTACTTTCGATTCACCTCGTATTCTAAATGATCATCGGCGAATAATGGCGATATTAATATCTTGTGCTTTTCTTTCCAAAAGTTGCGAATTCGGTACTGTGCCCGCTCGGTCCGTGGCGACAACTGGTATCTAAATGTCACACTAGCAGTTAGAAGACCACCTGCTATTCGCCCAGAGGGCTCTGCAGCCAGTAATTTTGAAGAAAAAATATAAAAAATTAGAAACAAAAATGTTGCTCTTTCTCGTTCTGATAAGTGGAGTGGAAAACTATGCTAAAATTTTTTTTATTTCCCACAGCAGGAAGTTTGTGCAGTGCGTGGTGACAACTGGTGTCTAACAGCCGCACTAGTGGCTATAAGATTAACCAGAGGACTCTGCGACCACTATTTCAGAGAAAAAATGTAAATAATCGACGCGAAGAAACTGTGCTCAAAGGAAAAAAAGAAAGTAATCCTCCATTTCAATACCGAACGATCCCAACCTTCGCTTCCATCGTAATAAATTGATTTAAATTTATTATCATGGTCAATACTGGACAATTCAAATTATGTAATAACTATACATTTTAAATACAAAGTATCTCGTTTGTATCATCTTCGCTAAAATATTACCGCAAGACAGCGAAATACTACTCGAACCGATATCGCAAAACCAATCGCATCGAAATCCGCTTCAATCTCCCGCCGTGGAACCAACTCCAGGTTCCGATCATAGGCGGCGCCACGTGTATCGCTCGAGTCGCGGCGAATCTATGAATCGTATCGCTTGCCAATGGTCCGTATGTCCGTCTTCGGAGCATAGGTACGCCATGTTCTCGGTCGTTGTGTTAAGAGAGAAACAGTGACGTGGTTGAAGGGAGACAGACCGGCCAGAAGGTGTAACACGATCGAGGGAGAGGGAAGACTCAAGGTGGGAGAATGAAAAAGGGAGAGAGATAGACGGATGACAGAAATGCATAGTCGTGGCTAGCAGCAGCAGCAGCAGCAAGAACAGCACAGCAGCAGCAGCAGAGCACAGAGGATAGATCGCGTCGTCGTTCACGCTAAATTCGGGGCGTGTGCTAGGTTGGTCGGTCGGTTTCCCTAGCTGGTGTCCGTGGCTGGAAATCGAGGATGTATCGGTGGCAGTGCGGTATACGCGTCATCGTCCCGTGACGGCGACGCGCGGCGAAGAGGTGGTGCGAGGCCGCCAGCACGGTGTGGGCAGGTCGCGGCCATTTTTACCACACGATGCGGCAACCGTGTGTGCTGCTCGTTCGATCCGCCATTCCAAACAATCGGTGTGCTTCGTACCCTCTTAGGGTGCATCCAGCGACGGTGGCTCGTCGGGACACCAGCCCGCGGCGATAATACGCGGCAGTTTACGTTCGATCGGTGTATTCAGTGTCGGTCAGAGGGTGACGGAACAGTTCGGCAAAGCCGGCAGTGCTGGTGGTGTGGTGGTGGAGTAGTCGAACGTCGTCGAGGACGACGACGTGGAGGAAGAGGAGAAAGAAACGAAGAAGAGGAGGAAGAGAAAAAGGAAGGATGACGAGCAGCAAACCGACAAGGACAGGAACGAGAACGACGATACTAATAGCGATCATGGGGAAAAAGAAACGACTCGAACGGCCGATATATTGGAGTACGAACGTATCTGTTGGAGCGTGTCTGTGATTTCTTCGTGATTATTGTGTTTTTTCTCGCCGGGTTCTCCTAGTGTTCTGTTCGTTCGTTCATTCGTTCGCTGGTTGGTTGGATGGTTCGTTCGTTCGTACGTACGTACGTACGGTGTCAGTGTCTTTCTGTCCATCCCTCTCCGTTTCTCTCGACCGTGTGTCGCTCGGTCTCCGTCTGTCCGCCCTGCGTGCGTGTTTCGCGTGCCTCCTCGCCACGCACCGGACTCTCTCCTCTTCCTTCGGCAGCGCGATCGATGGTGACATCGTGTGACTGCCTGTGAACGTCTTTTCGCTGGCAACAATTTTCTCGGCGGTATACCGTATCGTCGGCAACGAACGCATAACAATATCCCCCTACGATTCCCGGAAAAGAAAAGAAAAGAAAGGAAAAGAAACGAGAGGTGGCCGGAACGACGACAACGACGACGACGACGACGACGACGGGGGCCCAGTGGTGTGGCATGCGTGGCTGTGTGTCCCGTCGGTAAACGTCCCGTGAGAGTGTTGTATATCCGAAGGCAGTGTGTGCTCTCTTACTCGCGCTCCCCTGCTCCCCCCTCCTCCTCGCTCTGTTTGTCTCTCTCAGCCTAACGCTTCCAGCACCGCCACCACTCCTCCCCGCCTCTCTGTCTGTCTTATTCACTTATTCTCGTTTTCTCTCTTTTCCCACTACGTCGTCGTCCTTTTCTCTTCCTCCGTCTCTGTTACTCCGGTTCACTTGCTCCCTCCGTCGGTATATAATCCGTTTCGCTCGCGCGCTCGTTCTTCCAAAGAAGCATTAAAGAGGAGCGTAGTAGAATGGTCGACGATACCGCGACACGACCGTTGTCATCGTTCTCGTGGTCGCGGTCGTGGTCATCACCGTCCCCGGACCCATCGTTTCTCACGGCCGCTACGAGCATAGTGTCGTCGTGGATACGGAACTGGTGAGGGTTCTCTCTCGGCGAGGCACAGACCCGCGGGCAAACTCGGCCCGACAGCCCACGTAACGAAGCGGCCGCCGCGCTGCCACGGCACGGGTGAAACACAGGGGCCGACGACGACGACGGACTGCCACGAGATGGAGATCGAGGCGAAGCAACGGAACCAGAGGAACCGGAGGCGAGAGCGAGCCCAGCGTATGCTGGCGCAGAGGGAGAGCCTAGCCACCGCGAAGCAACAGCACCAGCAACAACAGCAGCAGCAACAGCAACAGACCAGGCAACGACCGGCCAACAACGACGAGGAGGACAGCCACAGCGGCGAGGACGAGGAACCCGCCACCGGACTCGGTCTCGGGCTCGCCAGGACCGGTCATCCGCGTGACAGCCATTCCCGACCGCCCAGACCACCGCGACCCCCGAGGCCTCGCAAGAAGTCTTCCCTCGCGGCTGCCAACCAGAAGGAGCCTCCCTTCGAGGAGGACATTATCGACGGCTTTGCCATACTCGCCTTCCGCACCTACGAGGAACTCGAGGTGAGAAGCGAATCTACTACTACCTTTTGCCAACCATATATATCATCGACCCTTTTCGATATCTGTGCACGTTATTATACTAGGACGCTGCTGGTTCGTATTACGTGACCCGACGCTATTTGTTTCTCTTCCGCGAGTTTACAGGCTGTTTCGGCGGACCAGTTTGAAACCGTTTTAATAAGACGGGCGGTCAAGTGCAGGATTTCCGCCGTAAATGGATGTCACCGCTCCGAATTAGGCCCTCTTATTTTTTTGGAGTTGAATGCGCGATTTTACACAAATTTGTGCAGCAATACGGTAATTAATTCCGTTCTGTTGTTTACATGGTCTTTATTTTTTTTCTTTATTTATATACACACGAAATTGTGATAGCAGATATTGTATCAGTGTTATCAGTGTATATTGGTGATGGTGGTGGTGTTCACGATCTACAGTCTCTGTTACAAGATCCGCATATATTTGCCGTCTTAAGCAAAACGAAAAAGCGCTCACGAGCAATTGAGTCATTTGTTGGTTCGTGTTGTGACAGTAACGATTAACGCTTTCGCGTTTGTTGTGTTTTTACGCGAATGTAGGAAACGTTGTCGTACTTTCCAAATCCGACAGTTTTAACTGTCAAGTTGAAAAATTTAATAATCAAATATCTTGGATTTGGTAAATGTCGGTAGCCTTTTTTGGCGACCGAACGATGTCGAATTCTTGCACAGGCAATTTATACCAGATTTGTGTCAGTGTTGTTGTTATTCGTACATGCTTTCACAGTGTGGAAAAATCGCTCTATTGAGACAGGTTTATCGCTGCTATAGTTCGTATATTTTTGTATCGTTCGCAAACGAAGTTAACATATTCGCACGAAAGTATTATTCCGCGTACAGTGTCATCGTGTTACACTGGGTTACGTGATATCGATAGAACCGCGCGGCTGCAATGATTATTTTCCTTCCGTTACTGTTTACATCTCGAGTTTCGATGTTTACTCTGCGCCGGTTAAATTCGATACCGCCTGTCTTTTCCGCTGCACCCGGTAGAAATGGTTTTAATCGTTGCACAAAAAGAAAGAGCAAATTTTACAAATTCACCCTCGTCAGGATCGATCGGAAATTGATTTATGCGTCCCGATATGGGATATCGACGGTTGCTATGAATTATCTAGGACAATCATGCGAAGTGTGAGCATTCGCGACGGGAAAGATTCATTTTCCGCGTAGAGACGAACACAAAATTTTGACCATGAAGGACAACTACTTTTCGTCGCGGTAGACTTTTACTCCGTTTGCTTGTTTATTTATCAACCGTGTAACTTCGAAACTCGGGAATGTCACCTTGTAAAAATAATCAAGATAGTGCAACGTATCCTTTTTTTTTGTCTGGAAAGGTACGCAACAAGTAACACCTCGCGTGAAATATTTATTCGTGCTTGAAAGTGATCGGATACGTGAAAAACGCTTGAACTAAGAACTTGTTTACGCGAATCGCCAGAACTCTCGCGTGATCTAGAAATTGCACGAGCGATCGAAAGGCGCTTTTGCATCTGCAAATTCTATGCTTCTAGCCTGGCAGTGTCGTTACTTTAAAGTAACGCGTACGGAAAAAAAGCTAGGAATAATTGTCGTCTTTAGTCTGAAAGAATAAATCGTTCGAGAAATGATTAAATTATTTTTGCAAATGGGATCGAAGGCATATATTAGAGCGTTGGGTGGAATTTACACTTGGGTCACGGAAATTAGCACTGGATAATTTTAGCACTATTTATGGATAGCTTTTTTGTTGTTGTTGCTAATCCCGCGAACTTTCCAATCGACGAAGAACAACGATGTATTAACAGTTTAGCATGGAAATTGATGAATTTATTTATGTGTATTTAATTTAATTTTTAAAATGAATTTTATAATAATTTTATAATTGTCGTCTTTAGTCTAAAAGGATAAATCGTTCGAGAAATGATGAAATTATTTTTGCAAATGGGATCGAAGGCATAGATTAGAGCGTCAGGTGGAATTTAAACTTGGGTCACGGAAACCCGAACGACTGTAACGGAAATTATTGACGTTCGCATCGATCGTTCCCGGATTGCTCTCGCGGGAAATTTTTGTTTCGTTTGATAGCAGAGAGAGCTCGGATCGGCGGCTTACCTGTCACCGGCGGCGTTATCTGTCGACGGAGAAAATCGTCGACAGTTTGTTGCGCGCTTGCGGACCTTCGCTACCTAAGCGCATAGTCTCCTCTTTTTTTTTTCTTCTTCTTCTTCTTCTTCGCCGCTGCCGTCGCTCGTGCCAACAGTTTTTACATGCTGTTGCGAGAACCGACTTTGCTCTCTGCTAGAGGCTCCGCGGCCGTGCTAAACGCGGTTCAACATTTACGGCCCTTAGTCCCTCGAGAATTTGTCGTTCTCGAGATAATCACACGTCGCGCGAGGGAACGAGATTTTTGTTTATTAGAAAACCGACCGCGTTTCCAGCGGAGCGCTCCGTCCGTCGTCGAGATTTGTACCCGGCTCGTTTAGTTCCTTTTTCTTTTTTCGCCCGGTTTATGGCCTCCATTCACCCGCAGTCCGCGTCGCTGTCGTACCCTTATACATAGAGGCTTCGATAAACAGAGTGTGCTTCGAGTGTCGAACACATTTCGATGAGCTCTCGCCAGACTTTCCTTGGACCTCTATATTTCGAATGTAACATTTTTGCGAAGTTCGCGATACCTTTGCATGGGAACATGCAATTATTTGCTTGCAAATAATTAAAGGCAGAGTTTTAGGTAAAAGTATATTTATTGAACACACGGAAACACAAGATCTATTGGGTTGGCAACTAAGTAATTGCCGATTTGTTCAGTGAAATAAAAAATTCTTTTTTACTTGGAACGAAGTTCGATCTGTAATGTATTTTCCATTTTGTTCGATGACCTCTTGCCGTCTCTCTGACAACTTGAAAATTCCACGCTCGTAGAAAGTCTGATCCTTTTCGGCCAAAAACTGAGTTAAGTGAGGTTTTACAGCGTCATCGTCGTTAAAAGTTTTACCACGATGGGAGTTGTCCAGGGATCGAAATAAGTGGTAATCCGATGGCGCGAGATCAGGGCTATATGGCGGGTGTAACATCAATTCCCAACCAATATCCATCAATTTTTGCCGAGTGGACAAAGACACGTGCGGCCTGGCATTGTCATGCTGGAAAATGACACCTTTACGATCGACCAATTCTGGTCGCTTTTCCTTGACCGCTGCATTCAATTTGTCCAGTTGCTAACATTCACGGATAATAAAAAATAACATAATAATAATAATAATAATTTTATAATATAACATTTACGGATATCATAAAAATGGGAGTGAGCGACATCAATAACTGAAATCGGCAATTACTTAGTTGCCAACCCAATATAATGCGTGAACGTTCGTACGGTGACGAACATTATTATTATTATTATTCTTACATAAAACTGGATCAGGTTCGGTTTGTTTACTCGGTATTTGTTATTCGATATCGCTCTTGCGTACGGTCGGGGCAACAAATATGTTTAATAAGCGAAATGTTTTCGCTGAAACCGATGCTCCTAGTTAAAAGAGATTCGTAAAATTTCATTATCCGATGCGATGTAAGTGGTTGCTCAACCAAACAGAAATATTATTCGAGAAGAGTAATAAAAACCAATTAGGCGGAATTGCCATCTCGTGCGATTAAAGGGGTCAGCGTTTAACTTTTGCTGCGTTGATTCGACCGGATTAATTTATTAACTTTTTAACCCCGCGTTTACGATGCTTGATTAACAAAGGGCGGGGAGAGAGAGAGAGAAAAGGGGGATGTATAGGGAACAGTTACGCCCATGCAGATTCGAGTATTTACAAGGGGGAGAGCCGAGCCGCCGTCCATTGAACATTTTTTGGTCGAACGGCCGCTTGTTACAAAATAATTAGGGGCAAAAGGGTACGAATTTGCCGGTTAAGTAACTCCGGAGGCATATTGCCCTGAAATAATATCCTACCGTGTTTACGAACTTTCGAACACCATCGACGCTGCCTCGGCCGTCTAATAACGTTACGGATGACCAACGCCGGGTTATTTATGACCCGTGTCACAGCCTTGTTGCGTCACCGAAAAAAAAATTCTGTCGGATAAAACGCTGGCATTGGGGAAGATGATTCACCGAAGATAGACCGGAACCGTCGATTTTTTTTTTCAAAACATGCTATACTTTTTCTCATCGATCGGTAGGAATCGACCGTTTTCGCTCGTCGAGAACATTCCGACAAACTCCTGGCCCGTTTTCTCGCCGGGATCGCAGTCCTCCTTCCGGCGGAATGATGCGCGGCAACGGCTCGTCGACTAAACAGAGAAGTTATGCGAAGTTAGACTACGCTAACTAAGTCGCACGGAAAACGCCGCGAGGAACTTCTTCACGAGATTGACGTAGTTTTTCCTTTTTTTCTGCCGATCCGCATCGAGGTTCGCGTACGACAGAAATTTGCATTGCAACGATCCGGGGACCTTGCGCGAGAAGGCAACGCGACACCCGATGGCTGCGGTTTTAACGCTATGCCGTCCGGTGGGACCACGCTGGTGCCATGCAAAAACTATCTGTTGTATGCCGGTGGCACCACTTTGGGGGCATTTTAAAAAACTGAAATAACATTTGAACTATATTTCTTGGGTGTTAAAAGGCAGCGAACTGACTATAGCATTGTGCTTATTTGACTAAGAATTAAGTACGAAAATTCTTGGACGACATATCTTAATTTTAGGAATCTATATTACCGCCATCTTCGAAGTTTTTGTTCAAAATCTAAAATTTCCAAGCTATCATGCCGGCGTCGAACAAAAGAATCATATCTAAGATCTGCGGACGGCATTAGAGTGTTGATGTCGAACATGTTTCTCTGTTTCTATTCTTATTTCGTTCACGCGACAGACCAATGTTGATGAATGTAGTCCGAAAATATTCCGATCCGAAGATCGAGACCTTTGTTTATAATTAATACGCTCGTCGGATGTGAATCACAACGGGCG